TAATTAAATTAAAGGAGGTATAGTAAAGCTTAGCTAGGCGTAAAAGGTGTACTTTATTACCTTTAAAGTGTTATTTAAGCTTTACTATTATTATATTAAAATTATTAGAATAACTAAGTAATAAGGTAGTGTAATACTTATATAGCTCCTCTTTAAGTATTACTATTACTACTACGCTATAGTGGTTTTATAGTATACTTATATAGATATAAAGGTTATAGAAAAATAGTAACTTTAAGTTAATAGTTTTATATAGGCTACTACTATATATTAAACCTAGATTATTTATATAAAACTTTATTAAGTCTATTAATTACCTTAGTATTAGGCTATATTACCTACTTACTATTATAGCTATTATAGTAGGTGTTACTAATAGTAAAAAACGTAGTTAGACTTAGGCTTTATAGATTTTAGCTGTTATCTAAGGTTTTTATAGTAATAGGGCTAGAGGAGGTATAAATAATAGATTATTATAAGAGGTTACTTAAGTAATTAGTAGCAATTTATAGGCTATAGCTTATTTAGCTGCTTTTACTATAGTAATAGCTTTAATAGGTAATACTACTATACTAGTAATCTTTTTATAGAAATTATTATCTACTAAGCGCTCTTTAAATCCTCTAACTTTTTATATAGTAGTCTTAATTATCTTTTTATTCTAGATAATAGTTTTATTATCTTAAATAGCTTAGTAAAGACATATTATAATTATAAAGTTTTTTACTTAATTAATTTATACTTTATAGCTTATAAAGCACTTATATAGCCTCTTAAGTATTTTATATAGCAAGAGGGTAAAATCCTTAGTTTACTAATCTTTAAAGTTAACTTATACCTTAGCTTAAAGGATACTATATAAATAGTTATTTACCTTATACTTAGTAATATAATACACTACTATAATAGTAAGGCTGTTATGTTACTAGGCCTTAGTAAGATCCTTTAGTATATTTATAATATAATCTCTCCCCTAAAGATTAGGAATAATATACTTCTTAAAGTTACTTAGTATAAGGTATAGGTTATTTATTATAGCTACTAGCCTTATAGTATTATATAGTATTACGTACTTATTATAAATTATTATAAGTTACTTAGTTAATTTACTTTCTTATATATTACTTATTATTTCTTTATACTTACTTATTTTAGTTACTTACTTATAATTACTTTCTATTAGCCTAACTACTTTTTAGTTATAGGCGTTTTTTTTAACTGTTATTAAAAGGCGTATATATCTATTAGAGGATTTACTACTAGTAGTATAGATAATTATAAAGACTTAAGGTTAACTAGAAACTTAAAAAGGGAAGGCTTATAGTAAGCTTATAGGTAATAAAGGCTATTATATTAGTAATATAAAATAATTTAGAGAAAAATAAGAAAAATATATAAAAAAAAGAAAGTTAGTAAGCTTTATAGGCTTATAATAAAAGGAAGGTAAAAGGTAAATAATTACTAATTAATAGTAGGTTAGCGCGTAAAGTAAGGTGTTTTTTATAGTTAGATAGAGGACTTCTTATATAGTAATAAAGTTAATTTACTTATATAAATAATATAAATTTTTACTACTTTTACTATATTAAGGGGATATAACTACTAGGTAATATAAATTAACCTATAATAGGCGTATAGTGTAATCTTATTATAAGGGTATTTATAAATAGGATTCTTAGTGACTAATTAGGGCTACTGTAAATAATTAATAGAAAAATTACCTCTTCTTATATTACCTTACTAATCTGTAGTAGCTTATAGTAGTAGTTACTATAAAGTTAACTACTAATTAGTGTTAGTTTTACTAGGATAGTAATATAGTTAACTATACGTATTAATAGGTAGTAATAAATAATAGGGGTAAATACTAGTTTTAAATTATATGTAAAGAAGGAAAACTATTGTGGGATTACGTGGCGAATTCACTGCGTAATATCCCTATAGATCTGGTGGATCTATAGCAAATTAGCTGTAGTTATTCTAACTAATTAGCGTTAATCTATATTACTAATATCTAGGCGATAGTTAATATTGTAACAATTAAGGTTAATATATTACTAAATACTATAAATATTATAGTTATACTTAAGATACTTAAACTATATAGGCTAATTATAGTAGTAAGTAAGCTTTATAAAGTCTAAAAGTATATTAACTTTAAGGCTAGATATAGCTAATAAGAATTATAATACTATATAAGTCTTATAAAATAAAGGTATTATAAGATTTAATAGAAGCTAGGCTTATAACTCTTATAAGCTAAAGTATATAGTAGGTAGGGAGATATAAATAAGTAAAAAAAGGCTTATATTATAGGAAGATAAATCTCCTAGGTAGAGGGCCTATATAAAGGGGGCCCTTAAGCTTGTTTATGTGACATAGCACGTGGTGTAGCTGACAACAACCGCCACACATACACAAGCTTCCTGTGATACCTTCTAAGGTCATTTTAGAACTGTGAATATATTAAGACTTTTGGCATTAGAAAAATTGTCTAGCTCTCCCAAGAACAAACGTTATACCGGTTGACTTTAAAGGATGCGGCCTGTTGCCTGCCTTGCCTCTACTATCCTGTCGGACCCTAGGCGCCCAGACATAAAACCAGCTGGTTCCTAGTTTAGGGCCTCGTCGGATTCGTGACGGCATATAGAAGGACGCATTGTTCCTCTGTGTCCCTATTTTCTTGGCTAGATTTGTACCCTGTCAAGACACAGAAGTCGGATTTACACTCTGCGATGCTAGATTAGGTCAATATTTAGGGGCCAACTGGGCCAAGGCTATGTCACTAGCGCATTCTGGGTCTTGTAATTGATTCGCTCAGGTGGGAGTCACCCTTGCAATGGCGCCAAGCCGATGTCCCACTGCGACGCGTTTCTAGGCCATCGGCCCTGCTACTGACCTTCAGCTGATTCAAGGGTCAGGTTTGAGTAGAATGCGATGGCCACAGCGAGATAGCAATGTATACGTCACCTGGCGGAAGCTTAATTCCGAAAGATCTGAATGCCAATGGGCATTCCGTTCCGTGGCCTCCAGGTTCTTGGAGCCCTCAGCCATTGGAGGCTTTGGCTTCCCTGCAAGCCGCGGTGGTCTACTTTCTTGCGCACCAGACAGACCAAGTGATTTAAAGATGGTTGCCTTGCATTCTTTACGATCTGGTGGGGATACTAACATGCGGAGAATACAGAGATGAATCCTGGTGCTAGTTCTGCTTAAGAAAAGGCCAAAAAGACGCAGCTCGTCAATTTCGATCTTGTAGGCTGAGCTGTGATCGACCTGTCTGCAGAAATGGGTGTGGATGGCGATATGTTAAATCTCGTCTTGGGTTTGAGACGCCAGGGCTTTGTTCCTAAGCATAACATATGACGACGGTAGTTGGTTGAATTGGGTAGCATTCAAAAGCCCGTCAAAGGCACTGTTGAATCAACATGACATATTTCCAGAGTTTTAGTAGGCCTTGTTGCGTCTTATTGTTGAGTACCTGGCCACAGCGACGCAGAAGGTCAGGTCTTACGTCGTTGGAATTTCGGTCAAGGCCAGCGTTCCAAAGCCAGCCTGAACAGGCACCCGTGAAAGTAAACGGAAACAGTCAGATACACTTAAATCAATATAAGTGACACTGAATGGCATAGCACTCCGCCACTCGCATCATTCGGGTCAAGTTTTATGCTTTTATCTGTTTAAACTGCGAGGTACGAGTGACAAAACGCTTCACTAACCCCTTTTATTAACAAGATCCTTAGAACACGTTCTATATCAGAGTTAGGTAACAGCAGGACTCTTATTATTGAGTCGGCAGGCCGCTACCCTACAGACAGGTTATGTCACTTGAACGTGAGAAAGCTTGCATCTGTTTGTAGGCATAGTTATGATGCATGTGTACACGTTACCGTGGGTCTGTAATCTCAGAGGGACTAACACTTTGCGGCAAATATATCTAGATGCTGCCGCCAGCCTAAGGTTACACACTTCCTGTCTTCCACTAACAGGCACAAGCTATGCTATCTATAGACAACCCTACAGAAAAGCACCATCGTAGTTGGTGAGGACTGTCAAGTGCATCATTACGGGTCCGGTACTCCCACTGGTCCTTTTCAAACCCCCATTGGTTTGGCTCAGCAGCGAGAGAAGGAGCTTTGCCCAGCACCTCGAGGTAAGGAAGGAAGTATACCAAGCCTCCGCGGAACAATTCAAGCTGAAGGGCTGGACAGTTGACTGGGGGAGTTAAAAGCGCTTCTATATAGGTTGAACTTTTATGGTATTGGACCACAGCTAGAATGTATGTAAACAAGTTGGACTATAGTCTAATGGTTTTAAAGCGTTTTGCGAGTAGGGAAGTCTCTAGTTTTATAGTGCTATACCTAGAAGTGCTCTTAACTAGTACTTATAGTATTATGAAGGAAAGATTAAAGTCCTTACTATATACCTGTAGATACCTTGAATCCTGGTTATATAGCACTTGCGAGGGTTCTATTCTGAGTGGGAATGTAGTATTTTAGATGTCGTCAGCAGGCACTCTGGTTATCTTCTTATCCTGATCTAAGAACGGGTGGGCGTCTGGAGGTGATGTGGGACGTTGTTTAGGATTGGAGGCTGGTCTAATTGAGTAGCATACCTACCTACAGCAAGTGTCTTTGAACGGTCTTGGGTTTGATCATTGAGGGTTAAAGGTTGGTTCTGGCGATTGACTTCCTCCCGGGCAGCGAGTGTCTGCGAACTTTGTCAATGATGATTAAGAGCTAGGGGTTGGTTCTAAAGAACATCCTCCATAGGAACAACAGTGAAAGCAGCATTTTGCTCTAAGGATCTATTGTTGACAACTTCCCTTAACTTTACGGCTCTCTGCTTAGCACGGATTCTGTCGGTCTCCAGTGCTACCCCACGCCCATTATATCCTACTGGTTTGTTCATTCAGTTCTCAGGGATTAAATAGGAGACCTTGTTTTTTGGGATATAATCCTAGAAAGGCATTGCATGGGAGGCAAAGCAGGTGCTGGGTATGGTTACGCGGAGGCGGGGTGCCGGGCGGCGGCGGTCGACGCAGGGCTCGGTAGGTGCGTTGCTGATGACGGAGACATTGATGGAGGGAATGTAGGTCGCGGTTCTGTCAAGGACGGGCGGTTTGTAAAGGGAAGCAGGTCCAGGGCCAGGCCCAGGACCGGGTTCGGGTTCGGGCGGAGGGTAGCGAGAAGAGGGGGCCAGGTATCGAGCAGCCAGCGGGCTGTGAAGGGGGCCCAGGTGGTGCGCCATACGTGGTCGGGGTCGTGGAAGGAGGTGATGACGCCGCTGGCGACGAGCTGGTTGAAGACGACGGCGAGACGGCGAGACGTTGCTTGACATAGGGCACTATGAGGGATGCGAATTTGGCGTCTGGAAAGGCGCAGTCGGTGGCGTTTAGAAGCTCGGGTTGGGCAATCTGGGCACCGGGCGGTTAGCCGGGAGCACGATGGCTTCCGGAAGGGAGACAGGCAGGCGGTCACCTTTTGGCAATTTGCCGTGGTGGCGCGGTGCTTGGCTAATTGGCGGTGCATGGCGCGGAGCAAATGGCCGCAGTTGTGCCATGAGATGGGCTGGTATCGGCCTTTGCGGAGGTGGTGGACGGGCACGCCTTCACATCGTTGCTCGGGTGTTGCTGAGGCACATGGCGAAGGAGTGGGTTTCCTCAACGAAAGAGAAGGTCAGGCGATGATGACAGACAACGACGACGGAGAGGTCGAAAGGGCAGTTTGTTGTCGCCGTTAGACGCGGGGCGAGAAAGGACGGGGAGGAGATGCATTTGGAGTTGTGGCGATATTGTATTGCTGACTTTGGGGATCGCAGGCGAGAGGCAGAAGAAGCGATAAGATGTGTTATATGTGTAAGCCCGAAACCTAGAGCGGTGATGTCTGAAGCGAAGGGGAGGAGGAGGATCGTCTTTGGAGGTGGTACATGAGGTCACACGGAAAGCCCCAAGGCCACGGCACTGCAATGCCGAGACCACCGGGCCAACCGAGCGGATGAAAAGTCGAGGGGGCCACAGGCCCCTGACAGCTAAAGACTCACAACACCAGAGACCCCCCGGTCTGCGGCGGCATGGTCTGTACCACGTGTAAATAGGAGATCTGTAGACATGCAATGTAGCAACGGGGCGCCTTTTGCCCTTCTCAGGGAGATAGCCGGCGTTAAATATACCAACAACAACATATGTATCAGACACCTCAGGAACCAAGATACATACCAGCTTTCTGGTTTACTAGCTGACTGGATATTATAGGAACGGAACCAAGAAGGAACTAAATTCTGGTTCCTAAAATTCTAGACTGGGTACTTTTCAGCCACACTCCTATCTTGTCGAGCCACTTCTGTCCCGTAGCTGTTTCTCCTGTCTCTTTGGTTCAAGTCATTGCCCTAGGAAATAGTACGTACGTACCAGACAGAAACCAGCTTGAACGTTACTATATTTACCGTGGTCAATCAAACAGGCTAATACCAAGCCATGGATACAAGCTGCTTCCTTGCGGTTTTTCTTCCCGTCATTGCATTTCCAACATCCATCATGGCGTTCCCTACGCAATTGGGAGCCGGACATGTCATATTGGTTTCGACCAGTTGTGACAAAATCCCTATTTAATTTTGGTTGTTGGTCCCAGAAGAGATGAGCCTCAACCCATTCACTTACAGAAATCTGTACAGCGCCACGACGCAGTGGGTACAGGAAGATGCCAGTTGTAGTAACAAATTCTATCGCCTAGATGTTGTAAACGACCCAGATGTTATGATTACACAACCTCAAACTCCTCCTATTAGCCAAGAGCGGCTTGTGGCTGAAGTCAGCGGTATATAAGCCGGACTCTTCATGGCAGAAGTAAATGCATCGAGGTTTATAACATTCGGTCATCAACCAAGAATACAAGCTGAACGCTGAGCAATATCCAGTGGCAGGCGCTTATTGCCTTATACCGCACTTTGCTACATGAACACCACGATTTATTCTCGACTTTATAGCATCCGTTAGCTAGCCTAGATCTTAGGAAGCTTACAAGCAACAACGCTATACTAGGACGCATGTGGAGACATGTAATCTATCCGTTCCTCAAGCTATTACGCTACCGTCTCCCAGACTCACCAGATTATATGCTTATTTCTATATACCTAGCGTATTCTAAAATAGCATTACTATGTATTGAGTGCCTCGGGGTCCTGGTATGCTACTGGTAAGTGCTTCTAAACGAGTATATATGTTACACCTTGGCTTTCTGCTTACAAGCACGGAATCGCTGTCCAAGAACACGTTGAAAGTGTAGAAGGCAACCCCTCTAAGACTCTGGCGACAGGGCAACGAAAATGACATCCCAGGCTAAAGGGGTTCGAAGCTGATGACGAAGATAGATGGATCTCTGTTTGGCGGCTTCGGTATTATCTGGCAAGCGACAAAGGCCTAACAATATGACGCCTGTATTATTACCTTGCTGTCCTGGCTCATCTGAATGGCGTAGAACAGCTGTTCTATTTTGTAAGACCCTTTGTGTCCCTATCCCTTTTCTCGATGCCCAGGAAAGCATGTCGCATTTCGACCCGTACCCGAACGACACTCCGACAATGTCAGGTGTGATTGTTGCTTTCTTCGTTTGCACCTACGAAGCTTTATCCTCTAGAAAGTGTTTAGAACAATAATCACCATGTGTCGAGAGGCTTATTGAGAGTCTTGACGTCCGAGGCACTCCGTTTGGTCCAACCAAACGATCCAAACGATCCAATCCACCCAACCGATAGAAGCAAACTGTTACGTAAAAACGATACCGTTATTTACGTGGGCAGTAACTAACACTTATTTACCTTGTGACATAAACTAAGCAAGCTAAGCGCAAAAGACGTTCTCTGTGGTGGAGAGAGAATGGATACTACGCCGGCATTGCCATTTTCTGGAATACGGTGGTAAGTCAACCACCCTTGTGCGGATCCTAAAATCCGACGATAGGGTCGACTACAAGACCACGCCAAACCTGAAGATTCTCAACGCTTTGGATTTTATTGATGGCAAGATGCTGTGGGTGATTATCTCTTTGATATTGAACACCTTACGAAGTCCTGTCCATCCTTTCAGAAGATCGAATCAGTACACTTTCCAAGCCCCAATAAGGAATCTTACCGCCCTCTCCCAAAAGACTTATACCTCGCTCAATAAATGACGCGCCGCGTTCTTGCAACAACGGCTCCCGAATGGGTGCTAGCACGAGAGGTGCCGCTTCATCTTCGTACCGACACAAAACCATCTCTATATACTACTCCCCCATGCTCTCAAAAGCGAGTACGACTCAGCCAAAGAGCATGCTGCATAGAACAGGAAACCCGTGCATGGCTGTGAAACTATAGCGCTACATATAGGACAGATTGTCTTCTCTAGTTATGTCTGGCAAACTCGATAGGATACAGCAGGCTCCTATAGGATAGCTATTCATGACTGAAGAGCCGGCCTATACGTTTTCACCGGCCTCACTCAACAACTTATGGCTTCCACATTACCCAATACACGTTTTTCCTTCCAAAAGCAGAATTCGATCCAACGCAACAGATGACACGCACGATCCTCCAGAGACTTGTAAGCGACCAACGATTTGTCTTTTGGGATGATACTCCGCTCATGTGAATAAGGCTACCTTACTGCACGGAACTACAGCATGAATTAATGTCGATCCCTGCAGGATATGATTGAATCTGGGGCTTGTCACGCTGAATCCCTGGGAGTTGGTCGATTACGAAAAGAAGTTGTAGTGTTCCATGCGCGTGAGAAGAGTGGGAAAAGTCAAAATACTAGCAAGAACCTCGACCAGAACTCGGAACCTTCCAATGTTACATCCCCTGCAGCTCTTGCAAAAACCTATCCTCCTCACCCGTAGCCTCAAGATTTCTTCCATATCCTTTGTCGCCCGCAGCGGGATCACCGTCGCATGATAAAGCCCTAGAGAAAGGGGAACTCATGGACCTCGTCGAGAACAAACCTACCTGTTACCTCTTCACATGCAACTGGCAGTTTTGTGGCAAGGCTAGTTTCTACAAGCTAATTTATGACTTAACTAGTCTCTACGGCTACTGGTATCTGCGCTAATCTAACATCAACATTATACAGAGTTTCAGTAGAAAGACAGACTTAAGCGACACTGCTGCATCCATACCAACAAGCGTCCCTACCGCTGCTCAACACCATGCTGTGACAAGAGCTTTACCCAAATTTTGCATCTCAATCGCCACAACCCAACCCACACAGGAGAGAAGTCCTACCAGTGCCAGCACAGTGGCTGCGGGGGGGGGCATTCTTTCAGGTGTAGCCGATTCCCTCCTGACGTTAGGTTCTAGCACGTATTGACTTAAGCAGCCTTCTAGCTTAGCGAGGCATCGCCATGTCCACACCGGCAAACGCTGATACAAGTGCGCCAGTGATGGCTCCCTCAAAAGGTGCATTCTGAGCCGACCAACCTTTCCTACTCTATGAGAGCATGATGCAGACAGAATTGACAGCTGGAATACCACCATGGTTGAGCACAAAAAGTAGTCTCGCCATTAGACGTGCCCAACGGCGTTAACATCATAAACGACCGCCTATCTGACTCTGGTAGGGCCGTGCCTTTCTTGACCCCAGAGCATGCCAACATGTAGCGGTCCATTTGCTCTCCCAGTTTCATGGCCATAGAATACACTATGTATAAAGAAACGCCCTTCAGCGACTACATCCAGCACTTCGCAGAAGAATGCGTCTCGGGCGTCACCACCATAAACTTAAATATGCACTCTCAAGTGTTCTGGGAGCAACAGCAGCAGTCTTCTTACTCTCTGGATCCAATGGCCATGGACTGCTTCGGTATAGGATATACTGTAGGTCAAGCAGCACCCTTTAGCAAATGTATCCAGCATATAAGATTTTAACCAGCAAACCTAGAAAATGTTACAATTCCAAAACGCACATGAACTACTGGCCTCGTCGACCTTTCGGTCTGCGCCATCTGCGGGAAATGTCAGGGTACCGAGTGACAGGAAACATCAAACAAGCCATTGCTCAGCAACAAGGAATGCCGGTCATGTTCAAGTTGATACGCCAGGGATTCAAATCGAGCAGGACGAAGACGCACACAAGCTTCTGTTGTCAATATGCTTATCACCACGTAAGCATTACAATAGTGACAGAAAGCTCGCAAGCTGCTTCTTTAGTTAGATCAGGCGAAATAAGAGAATGAGCCCGGCTCAACCAAACTTTCACAGAAGCTCGAAATGAATCGTGTTCTCTTGGTGCAGACAGGCAGTACCCAATGTCTCCCCAATACCTATTGACAGAATCCGCCAAGATCCAACAAGTTCTGTTAATTCCTGTCCATTCAACCGCCTAGAAGAACCAGTGTTGACAATTAAGGCATCCAGCTAGTTCTCAGGATAGTTAATGCCAATCAGGCCAGGGAGGTTTAAGTGGCCGTCAGCCTCGTTCAGAATCAGATGTTTATAACACCTGTTAAGCGGTTGCCTCTAATCTAAAGCTGCAACGCATATGCAGATAACAGATGTTGGTGGTTGGCTGAGAATGTCCCTGATTTAGTAGTGGTAAGCTAGCAGCCGAATAAGACCATAAGTTGTCATTAAAGAGAGAGTTTATGCAGAGTTGGTAGTTGCCATTAATGGAAAGGAGAAGTAGAGTACGTATAGCCGCCGGGTTTTCCCTTGGTTGATAATCCACAACCAAGCTCATTTGCCAAGTCAAACGATTAGCAGCTAACACACATACTAGAGACTTTCAAGATCTACTAGTTTATTGCTTTTCCTTTCTTTACTAGGCTGTCTCCTTATTTCTTTCAAGTTGGAACGCGGTGCGCTGCTGGTCACGTCTTGTCCAGGCAGATTTCTTAAACCATTCCCTGAGGGGCGTCGTACCGGGACCAGCCTGCATCCTAGTACTAATCTTCTGAGTTTTAACCTTCTTGCCTAGCAAAGCCGAAAGGTCATCATGCACAATTCATAACGTTAATTTGGCGAACCTCCTGATGAAGGAGAACTCCTGAACAGACTGGAGGCCCTATTTTGGCCAAATCATGTCTTCCCTCAATGCGTTGAAGCCGCCCATTGCACGCTTGTTAGCCAACAGCGATGTTTGGCGGGCGATGTGGTAATTGACACCTATGGCTATTGTATAATATTTAGTAATAATTGCGAACCTGTTTTTTAGAAGACATGGGACAGGCAACCTTGACGACGTGCTGAACCTGTGATTGGGATCCCTCAGACGCGTTCACTTCTATTATTTAAGCCGTCACGAGCCGGAACCGGCCCCCTTGGAGGGCTGCCAGAACAGTGTCCTGCATCGCTTATCGCTAAAATTATGGGCTAGACACACCAGCTCCTTGTGGAGGGGGCAGACCTCAAGGGGTCGGCAGACACATGCCTTGGAAATCGCGAGAATCGCAGCTCTCCACATGAGGCATCCATTGCAAATGATTCGTTCACTCGGCAGCTTGCGCTCGCTACCTTGTGTTGTGTAGGTCGCGAATTGCTATATAGGGCACCTCACTGTCCACCTGTCCCGGAGCATGTAGCCAAGGGACCCCACTCCTACATAAATGGCAGGATTACGGAGACCATATTTTCCTGCCATACCTATGGCAGCTGTCTCAACATGCCATGTGTCAGAGGCAATTGGTCCCAAAGTGTTGTGATGCCATATGTGCAACGCGCTAGATTATTGTGCGGATTGCCATCGTCAGGACTGTTGGTAGAGCAATCGTCGTCTGGTAGGCCTCCGCACCGCCACGAGGCCCAAGAGAAATAAGGCAATAGATGTAAAAAACCGTCTTGCTCATGTTGCGCCCAAGGGAGAGATGAAAGAAGTCGGGTTTAAGGCCGAGGTAGAGAATCTTGGGAGAGCGGATGCCGCCAAGTCTAGTGGTTAGGAGGAGGAAAGGTTGGAGACTGCACACATTTCCCCAGGGAACTGAGCACATTATACAACTCTGCACCACGCCTAGCTTTCTTGGTTTTGAACATTATTGGAAGCCTAAGAAGCCTAATTAAACTACAAACCGGTCGCCGTAAAGTTTTTCTGTTTCAACCAATGCGTCGCTGGATTTTCGCACGCGCTTCCGGGCGCCGTATTATAGTCCATGTGCCAGACTTCGAGTGGCCGCACCTTTGGATGCGACGCCACCAAGTCGACTCCTACATCGGTGTTGATCAGCGCTGATTGCCAATTGCTGCTTGTAACGGCTGATTTTTTCATTTTTTTATTTTTTTTGTGGCCCGAGAAAGAGATTTGAGATTGAGGGAGGTTTATTTGTTTACACTTGGCACCTGCTCTGGACATGATGAGATGCGGAGAAACAATGCAGGGGGTAATGACCTGTGTCTTGTCAAAGGGCTTATAACGGGCGAATAGGTGTTGTTGAGCTGGGCTGGGAATTAGGATTTGCATGGGTGGTGAACATGGTCACCACAGCGAAATTGTGACACGGATCGATAATCCATTCGATCAAGACCCCCAACTCATCACACAAGCACATGGACTCGGGGTTTCAACCGATAACTCCCACCCGACGTCAATGAACCCCGTTCGTCGCGTCAAACCAGGCGCAAGGCTTTTGGCATCCTTGGTGGCAAAGTTTGGAGTCATCGTGTGGCTAGCAATAGGGATAGTGTATCTGTTATAACCTTGACGAGCACTTAAGCGAATTTCGTGGAACTTCTGGCAAGACAGTTGGCGGACAAAGAAACGTTTACTCCCTGCGACGTGTCAGTGACATGCACCGTAGGCGATAGTTGTGAATAGCTTCAATTGGTTGACGGCTACAGCAAAGCCTATGTATAGGCGACGCGGTAAGGTGATAATCCTGCGTAGATGTATAAACGGCGGGGTAACTTTGCTTGATGCATAGATGGAGGGGCAGGACTGGTTACCTAGGCACGGAGTAACCTAGGTATTCACTACGTAGGTACACCAGCCATGGGTTCCGTATTGTATCAACTTCTCAAGCGGCGAATCGGCCGAATGACCAAAAGGTGGGGACGTGGTCTGTGCCACACCTGTGGCGGCAGGTGTGGCAATCCTGCCAAAAGTGGAGAACTGCAGTGGAAAAATATCCTGCAGTTCCCCACAGCCCCACCCTCTATGCCGTTTTGGGTGCCACCTGAATTTGAGTGCAGTTACCTAGACAAGGCATAAAGTGCAAAGAGAGAATAGGGCTTAACACATTTCATGGTGTGTCCCCCTTGAAGAATCGAGTATCCCGGTTCCGTTGGAGGCCGGAGGCTCATGGCCAATTTTTTTAAGTGACCCGTCCATGTTCCCCGTTAACATGCGCAGCGTGCAGCGCGACAGTGACGTCAGGTCTTATGCTACATAATCTCGTGTTACGCCGCCATAAACTGGCGATAAGATAACAGTGAAGGCACCAACGCGTCTCGCCTTCCAAGTCTTTTTCCACACATATCACGGGCAGCATCTTTCCTCAGTCTTACAAACGAACCCCTCTTGTTAGGACATTTCCTACACCCAAACGCTTTCTCCGCAACAACATCTCTCCTACCAGTTCAACACTCGTTCATTAATCCAAACATGAACCTTCATCAGCCTTCTGGCCACGATTCGTTATGCCCGTTGAAGAAACCCTGACCAAGCTCAATGCTCTGGCAAACCCAGCCCCGGAGACGCTGTGTACCCTGTGGCTAGACCTTGAAGCCGAATTCCGCCAGGACACAATCCTCAAGAAGACTGATTTCGCCCGTTGGGTGTTGACCAACATCCACCGCAAAATATTAAACATCGCCACGGATGCAAGCCAGGCCGGCGTAATCCATACCCTGCGCGACGACATATCACGTCAATACACCAAGATACTTGTGTGGCTTGATGTATCTGTCGGACTCCTACTGCTTCTTTTTGGTTCCGAAATCGTCAATTCCCGCGCCAGCACCGATTCATTCATTAGGCTGAAACGGAAGTGTCCCGACTTGCACGTCGAGCAGCTCTACGACGCCTGGACAGCGCAACCCAGACTCAAAAAAGGGCACGTTGTACATGATTTGTATCGCTTCCAGCAAACAGGCAAGTCTTGTGCGTTGCCACCAACAAAGCCCTCGTCATTCTTCTCATGGACTACACCACTGACATTGGCCTTGACCCAGATCTTGCCGCCATCCCCTCCCCCGTGCGAAAGTCGAAACGCAAGGCCAATGCCAGGCAGACGACGCCCTCCGTCACTGCGTCCATCGAAACTGCGCATCGAGAGAGCCCCGACATAGACGCCAGCCCACACACTCCGACGCCATTGCAAGACCTACGACCATCTTTTCAAGATTCCCCCGAAAGGCCTCGACGACTCCGTCAGGCCCTACAAAGCGAAACATCGTCACCTGGCGTCACATTCTCTACACTTCTCAAAAGAGCAGAATCGCAAACCGAACGTGAATTACAGGCCTCGAGGTTCACGTCATGGGAGCCCGATTCAGCAGGCAATCAAGACGCTCCTTCTTACGATTCGGAATCTGATGATGGTCTTGGCGTTGTGGTCTATGATCCGGCTTCTCCTCCCCACTCTCTCATGCTTGACGACCAGTCCGTCATGGAGGAAGAAGGCCTTGAAACGGTCGAAGAAGATGAAAATCGTCACGCCGTATTCACAGAGCCTGGAGTTCTTGGAGCCTCAGCCGAGGAGAACACAGTCGTGGAGATCACCCCCTCCGAGCACGGCGATGAAGTGTCCAACCTGATACCTGGGAATGTGACCACCCGGTCGTGTCAAAAACGGATCTACAGCGACTCGGCCGCCTCGACGTCAGCCAAAGACCAACAAACATCGTTCGTGGCATCAGTCAAGAAGCCGAGATTGGACAAACAGTCCAGGCAGATCGCGAGTCAACCCACCACTCCTGAATATACGAGAACGCCTCGTCCGACGGCTCGGAGAACAGTAGACATGGTGACGGTTATGCGTGGCCTCAAGACTCTTGAGGATGAGCAATGGTTGAACGATGAGGTTATCAACACGATCGGCCGACGTCTTGCATGCAAGAAGATTGGCGTCGTTGAGAGTCTTTCCTTGGCCTCGAAAACAAGAACCGAACGAGATCGACTGCGACTACAGCCTGAGATCAATAAACCAAAAGCACTCTTATTTCTGAACCACTCCAGCCATTAGGTTTTGTTCTCGTGGTCCTCACAAGACAATACTTTAACCAAGTACAACTCAATGTCCAATAGGCAGTGCTGTTTTGGCAATAACCTCGTTCCAAACTACTTACGATGGCTGTACAACGATAAAGATCTCCCCATTACCTTCCGCAAGGAGGCGGTATGTTTCTCAACTTGCATGCGTCGGCACCCTGAGTATCTGACGCTTGACAGTGCCCGCAACAGCCAAATGTCTGGGATTGCGGCGTTTACGCTCTCGTCTTCGCGAGCCACGTTGCTGATGGAAAGCCTTTACCGATGACGATTGACGGCGCCCGCGAGCGAGTGTACTTGCGCCACTGTATGCTCGTTTCGCACGATCGCGCACTTGCGTCCACCGAGAGCAACGGCGAGTGTCGAACACTTCGAGCTCAGGCGGAGGCTGCCAAGCATCTGAACAGACGGATGAGAAACTTTGACGAGCTGCTCCAGGATGGCTCGGACGACTTATTGAAGTGGATGGCCCGGAAGGAAGTTTTCAGAGAAGGACAAGCCGCTCTAGCAGACGCTATCGCAACCTTACACAACATGCACCTGATGACGGTCGAGTCGGCAACCCGTGCGGAAACACAGGCTGCCAACGCGAAGGGACTGAAAGATTTCCACAAGGCGTTAAAAACTATCATGTGCATGAACAATTTGGCTTGGAGGGACCAACACGATTGTAGCTTATTCAAGTTGAGCGACAGCACCATCCGCCATCTGAACATCGTGCAGGATTCCTCCCGTTTGCTCGACAAGGACCTCACACAGTTGCTCGAGACGGATAACAGGCGGGATCTCGCGGACGAAACCCGACTTGGGTACCGCGAGTGCTCTGCGCTCATCATTGTACTTAACTACGCGGTGAGGAAATTTCGGGAAAACGCCACGGACATGAAGCGGCGACAAGGCAATGCACACAAGGAGCTACAAGGGCATCTCTAGATTTTTGTCGATCATGGGAGATGGCACGTGATGGAACATGGCGTTTTTTGTGGTGGAATAGAATTGGGAGCATTGGTACGATGAAGCCGTACTGGGGTCTATGTTTACTACACTGGCAGACGACAGAGCAAATGGCCACTTGGTATTGAGAATCAGAGACTCGTCTATGAAATGGCATTTGGTATGGCTACGCCATTAACTACTGTTGGATGGAGCCACGTCCTAGAGCTGTGAACATGGAGCAGCCATAGTCATCAACTACTAACCTGTCGCCATCTACTATCTACCCGCCAGAAGGAAGCAGAGAGCAGCACAACGTCTTTAGTGGCCTGCTGGAAGACAAGGTTTAGGGGGTGTCGTGCTAAAAACGACGCCGTTAATTGCAAGCAGCAATTAACGCCTTATGTAGGACAACACACCCCCCCAGATTGCAGAGATCTATCTTTGTGATCTGCCTGCTATCACTGGGCTAACAGGGAAGCCATCATAGCACCCCCCTAGGCTCACTTTCCAAGACACTTTGTATCTGCTGGATTTAAAACGCTCCCTGTCCATGGCTTGCGCGGGATTCGAACCCGTAGGGTCTATGACGCTCAGATGCTAACTCTGGGGCTGTACTATTCTGGCACACCAGAGCGAACTGGGCTCATAACTGTCGTAGAGGCACTGTTCGGGTAGGAAAGATCATAGGGAAAACGGCTTGACTATCTACAGTGTAGAGATAGGTGATCCAGCCCGAAGAAATACGTATTCTTCGAGTGGGTCAGCTGCGTGGAGACGAGGCTCGGTTCGGAATAACCATTTCTCCGGTCGGGAGAAATCGGCCGACCGGAGCCGGATGCGCGTGATGCACATGAGGGCATCACGACAGGGGGTATTACACACGACGACACCAGTAAACAGAGATCAATGGCCACGACACGTTGCTGGGTTGCCGGCCTTTTCTTGTGGTCTTTGGCTTAAATAGACCTCGCTGAAGTTGCTTCTCTATTTATTTGCCCTGGGTGAACCGTTTGCATCAACACTAGCAGGACACCAACCGCTCCCAACTTCCACATGCACTCGCGATAGCGCGCTACTTCGCTCGTCCCCAACGGAGCCCAAAAAGTGATGGAAGGACGCCCTAGAGCCGGATGATACAGAGGATACCGGCCGCGTCACCTTCCCCGAGTTTGGCTCCTTGCCGTGTTCCGGAGGCCACTCTGTTTTCAGAATGTCAACGGCTGGCGTTGGTTGACGTGGTGGGTCAACCTCGGATTCCTGACTGTTGGGGAAGCCTGTTGTTGCCTTTGGACGCTGTGAGGTGAAAGACTACGTCCTCTCTCGGTCGGAGAGGCCTGAGAAATTTGCCGCCGGACTGGTTTAATACTTGCCCGCAGGTTTGGCAGGAGCCATTACCGCGACGCCGATGCGACAACAGGCGAGATTTCGAGCTCCTGGTAGTGAATGGAGTGAAAATTGTTGTGTCTGGGAATGAAATTTAGGCGTGGTAGATATCAATATGACATGAGGACAAACAGATGACACATGTGGCAGTTGAAGCATTACGATCCCGGTCCTGTGTCAACCTAACAATCCTGTCAACAATCACACCGAGGTTGGGATGGTGATTCGTCTGCTTCTCGCCGTGAAAACCAAGAATCAGCCCTCCCTCGCTCCCGCGTCAAGCCCAGCCTCCCTCTCGACATGGCACTCCTACCTGTCGTCCCCATGGCGTCGTTAGCCAACCTCATCGTCTCTGACCTAGAGGCACTCGACCAGGCACCAAATGGATGATCCGTTCTGCTGCCCCCCTGAAAATGGCCACAAGCGACATTCGAAGCAAAAGCAGCAGCAGCAGCAGCAGCAATAACTCCTTCACCGCAATCAAATTGTCTATCTAGTCAGCGGGCTGCGAGCCTCAGAACCTCCGATTCTGCTTTCACACCGGCTGGCCTTCTGTCTCCGAGACGATTAGCCTTCATAGCCAAAGACTCCCTCGGTCGACGACGGCGAGGTTGCCGGTTTGCCAGTCAACAGGCGGCGCTATTCCTTAGAGCCCTCGTTCTCGTTCTTGTCTCTTGCGTAGATTCGTGAGCTTGACCTAACCGCGCTCTCTACCCCTGCGGGGTGTCGGATCCTGCAACACGCCGCCTTAGTAGTCGGTCTGGCCGTCCTACTTTGTGCTCTCCCACAACTACCGCTTACTTGAGTGCAGCCCAGACACGCGATGCCCCTCCTCGTCCTCTTCCTCCTCCGCCTGTTCCCCACCTCGATATGCTCGCACTCTACTCTGCGAACCTGGTCCGATAAGCTTCTGTGCCGATGTTCATGTCTCTCGGCTTTGTCACAGGGTCGTTACACAGGCTAGCAGACCGCTACACTCCCAACCCGGGGCTGCGTCATCTTTTTTGTTCTCTCGAGGACCTCAAAACATGGACGACCCCAAAGGAGAGGGAGGACGCATACCCCTGAGAGAGTTATTCGAGAAACGGTCTGATATGCATTCGGCGGCGGCGGTGAAGGAGCGGAGGGGCACATAGTAGACGTGTGAGATGCCGGCATGCTCGGGCGAGAGCCCGGCATCCTCGGCGATGAAGGCGATGCCCTTTTCGCTGACGTCGAAATTGGAGTATGCGTCGGCCTCGCCGTAAATGCCGAAAGGGGCCTCGAGGCGGGTGTCCCGTCTTCGCCTGCAACCCGGTCGGTCACTTTGTGCTAGAGGAGTATTTCCTGTCCAGCTGCGACTCGTTCTCTTCAATGTCATCTGGGATCAGAGGCGCAACTTGGGTACCACCGCCAGCCTCCGCTCTAGCTCCACCAAGGACGACCTAAAAAACAGCGACAAGTCCGCCCAGACCCTCGCCGCCCTCCAGGGCAGGTATCCAAGGTCATCTCCCGTCTAGCGATTCTCAACGACAAGATCCGAGCCTTGGATAAGTACTGGTCTTTAGATGTGTCCCTTGCCTTGAGCTTGCGCCTGCTAAATGTCGTCGAGGTCCGAAAACGGAAACCCAAAGTCACAGTCTCGGTCAGGCAGGAATCATCATCAGAGCCCACACACACCACACAACCACCAGGCCTGACTTATCAAGCCTCGCCAAGGACGTTGACGTTCTGGCATCCTTCAGCACAGCATGGATGGTGTACATGACTGCGCGCAGCGAGCGGCCGAGCCCTCTGTCCACACGTTCCACCAACTCAACCCAGCAGGACAGAGTTAATCAAACTCACTAGAGCCTTTTGGAAATAGCCACAAGACCGCTAGTGATAGTCACTCTTGACCTCCCTAGAGAGGCCGCACCTGGCGCCACTACAGCCAGGGAGACGCTAGAGTCCCTTAGGAACATCTGCTAGTACTTTATGTGGTTGTCCTTAATGAAGCTTGCGCCCTACTATCAGACGTAATCACACGCCTTAACCACGCTGTTACCGTTATGCTGGACCTGATACCCCTGATCGTGGTACTTGACGAAAGGATGGACTAGCTCCTTGACAACCCCGCTGATTACGGAGTCGCACAGATCCATTGCGTCGCTCCGTTCCTTTAATCTATTGCCCTCGTGCGCCTTGCCGACATGCGGGACCGGGCTTGCTTTACAGCTCTTGTGCTCCACAACGTGGTTATACACCAGTCGCCGCCTGTCAACCGCAGCAGCAGTAGCAGAAATGGCACCGCGACCAGGCCTGCAGTAACCTTTCCTGGCTAGCCTGCTATCGCCATCGACATGGAGTTTTTCTACCAGTGGATCCCAAACAGTCACAACGACTGCAAGCCAGCTAAGCTTTATAGCTGGCGTCAATGACATTAAGACTGACAACAACGGCGGCTGCACGCCTGAGGGCCTGGCCTGGAGCCGGTGGCACACACCAAGGACAACCGGGGGAATCCCTACATGCGTGAGAGATTATTCTACTAGTAGCGCTAGCAGCAGGAGGATAGCCTGAGTGGCAAAAGGATAGCAGCAGACTAGGTAAAATGCTAAGTATAAGTAGGACCTTATTTTTCTAGCCAACAAGACTTTTTACATAGATTCCAATTACTTGCTTCCACTCTAGCTCTAACAGGTCATTCCAAGCTAAACATAGTTAAGAGGGCAGATACGCATACACAGAAAGACACATTATCTAGCATACTCTACAGCAGCAAAACAATACAAGATTCTAGATAGTCATACTCCCATGCCTAGATACAGCAAGCACCAATAAGACGGCCGCTAACCACCACTTAATGCCAACATTAGCCACTCTAAAGCACCCTCATGCACTGCCTCACTGCTCCCACCAGCTCCTCCCTCTTATTTATAGGGGAACAGTAACTACTACTTTTGCTGCCACTGAGACAGGTAAGGAGGAGAGTGAGGGTTTAATAGGGAAGACTGCAGACGGGGAGGCGACAACCAGACACACTCGCGTTGCTCAGCGGCCTTCACCATGGCCACGTACCAATCGCTGATTGGGCTGGCTAAGGCGGCGGGGGTGAGGGTGACGACAATGACGTTTACTGCAGGACGAGAGTTGTTCCTAGTTAAGATAGTGGATAGACGCGTCGGAGTCAGTGGCATTTGTCGTCAGTGCTGCTGCTGCTGCTGCTGCTGCCACTGATTTGGGACTTGCAATAACGCCGGCGCAGTGGGAAGAGGAGGTGGCGGCAGTACACTCCATCATCTCAAGCGCGGTGAGGTTCTCCTCCAGTGTGAGCTGGGCCCGAAGCCCGCGACGTCGAGCAATGGCTCGCTGCCGGCCTGTTGGGGACGGAGGCGTGGAGTCGCAGGCGGGTATGACAGAGAAGCGGCTGTCGTCGCGCGTTGGACACGGGGGAGGGGCTACGGCGGCTCATTGTCATCATCACAGTCTATCTCCGGCGGCGGTGTCGGTTTGTACCCATCCCATCCCGGCTCGGCCCGGGAACTGGCGTACGTCTCCTACTGCGGCTGAGCTCGACGTGGCCGTCATCGGCGAGCTTCTTGAGGCGGTATCTGAGGGAGCTCTTGACCTTGTGGGTGGGGGGAGGACGATAATAGTATCCGGGTCGACTTTAGTGCCTAGGCCGGCGCGGCGCAGGAGCTAGTTGAGAATCTAGGAGAAGTAAAGTGTGCTGTAGTTGCTGAGGTGGAGGCAGTGGCAGGCGAGGTGCGCCTTGCCGGCGATGATGGTCGGCCGGGCCAATTAATGCTGCGGAATGTCGTCTTCTTTGGGGCGGACAAGACGATATGATGGACCCTGCAACGAAGAGCATGGAGGGGGGAGTCTCTGGGAAGTAAGAAGGTGGAAAGTGAAAGGAGGGGGGAGGAAGGAGAACGGTGGATGGGGTGCGCTTGCATGTTAAGGTCACATTAAGCTCAGTTTGTTTGTCAGCAGGGTGGTGGAGGTGAAGTCCTAAAATGCGGGGGACTGACTACATCGTCACCCGCACGTGTGTCTATAATGCAGCAACAAAAGAACAGCTTGGTGTCTCAGAACCGTTACAGGTAATAGTTTATTAAATCGCACCTAACCAGCATAGTGATGAGGTCAATGGCTGCACTCTACTAATGGCTACATACACTACATACTGTACTGACACGCGTGTAGTTCTCAGTGTCGCTCTGGAACAGGTTGGTTGATCAGATCCTTAAAGTCCCGCCCCGGTGCCAGTGACCGTCTTCTTAGCCGTCTTGGGCCTGACCTTGGCTGGTGTCTTCTTGGTGGCCTTGACGACTCGACAAAGGCTGAGACTGGCGACCCACCTCCGTCTCAGACTCAACGTCCTCGATGTCGTGCTGATGCATCGCGAACAGAGCCAGGCGCCTTTCCACCTCGGCACAAGCCGTGGCTTCAGAAGAGACCAGAAAGCTGCAGAAGGCAGTGCGGACTCTCTCCTTGTCGGCCATGGTCCCAGGATTGTTCTGCTCCTTCTCCTTCTCCTACGCCTCTTCCAAGTTCCTCCTCTTTCAGATCCTATGTATAAGTAGGAAGGAGCTATAGAGGTTAGGACACTAAAGTGGTCTAACCTCTTCTTGGCTAGAGCCGAGGTTGTGGCACCGAAATGACACATCCTCTGGCTGTGGCGCAATCGACACATAACTCAAGTGGTCCAACCTCGACAGCTCCTTCCTACAGATCTGCTACGCCACTGTGGGTGGCAGGTTTTCCCGATTTCTGCCATGCTCGTGGCAGCCTTTGACAAAAGCTGCCATCCTCGGCTACACACTGGAGGACCTCCCATCTCTACTTCTAAAGACTGTGCTGTGGCCGGGCGGCCTTGCGAGCTTACTGACTTGTTAGAGACCTCTCGAGGCACGATAGGTACAACGTCTTCGCGAAGCCGGCGAGTCTCAAGGAGCCCTAACTTTTCCCTAAGGTTCGTCACATCAAGTGCCACCGATGCATCCATTACACTATACGCATCGGCTACGCCGCCACAGAGAAGGATTCAGTCTCTAAACTGCGCCTTGTGGATCCTCATCAATCAGTAATATCTATAGTATAAGCCAGCACCTTACAGCCGATGCTTTATCAATTGTTGTCGCAGTATTCCCACCGTCCTTGTCCAGCAGAGCATTCCGATCGTGACATCAGCGATGCCCCGCTCTTATCCCATAATCGATGCAGACAAGATGTGAGGGGGACCGACCGAGTGACCAATTTTGAGGACCTGAGAGCAAAGACACGGCTGCGACTCCCGAGAATTGAGGTCCTGCAAACACGATGCATTCCTCGCTGTGTAAGGCTCGTAACGCTCGCCTTTTGTCATGAGCAGCTGTGACTGAGGTCTGCGGGTTCGTGCCACACGGTCAAAAGCATCACAACAATGGCAAGCAGTGAGAGCTTCCCCCCTGAGGGGCGTTGAGAGCTGCCGACCACCGTTGGCTGCTACAATCTAGAAAACTTAGCAGATGACTCTCAAGCATATCAAACATGCACCAAATAAGCTTTAGCCTGTTAATCTTGTTTAGTGCTCTCTCGCACAACACATGTGCCTCGTAAGCTCTGTGTGAGCTGCACAGTGCAAATCGGCGTTGGAGGCACAACGGGTATTTGAAGCCCGCGATTGCTTTATGTATCCCTTATGTTATGTCTTCTTCGGTGAGGAAGGTGCCGCTTGTGGGGCGCACCTGACCCGGCGCTGGTTGACCGGCCCTGTTGACCCACACAATGCCGAACACCGGCCAGTCCTGGTCCTGCCTTTCTCTCTTCTACACATGCCACATGTCGTCACGCGCGCCGACTCAGGCGTCTTGATTTTCAAGTCGCGCAACAACCAACCTTCTAACCTGGCGGGGATCCTTCTTTTTTCTTAATTTCGAGTCTCTCTTTTTCTATTCTCAACCTAGCGTTCTACACGACAATCCTCTGGTGGTCCTCGTTCACCCTTTGTACCTTCGATTCTTTCGCGCCAGACTCACCGCCACCTCTCATTTTCAACGTCCCCTGGCCGTGTTCCAGACTCACCTCCTGCGAGCCTCATCACAAAATCAAGAAGCTGCGTACGCCTTAACTAATCTGCCCCACTTTTAAAAGGCGCAAGCGCCTGGGCCACACCCGCACGTCTGGGAAACAAAAGTGATGGTTTTTGGTAGGCAAATCGTCACTTTTGTCGCAAATCTCTACGCCAATCCTGCGCAAGTATTCATCAGGGTCATAGCCACCGTATTGCAGCACGTTGGCTGGCAAGGTTTACTAGGTATAGTGTTTGGTGCGACTTGGCTAACGTGGGACTTGTGTGAAACTTCTCTTGGGGCCTCAAGTTAATTGAGAATGGGTTAATTGAGAGTTCCAGTGGGCGCACTATTAACAAGTCGAAAGTAACCCTACATACCTATGCGCGTAGTCCCCGACACCTGGGTGGATGAAAGGTGGTTGTCGATGGGGAAAAGGCGGAGAGAGGAGGCCCTCGGGGCTAGGGAGAGAGGCGTGCAACAATAATTATGTGGTGGTGCGGTTGCAGGTTTGATGGCGAGTGCTGACCTACTAAGACCCCACCCTATAACTCGGGCCACCCGTAAAGACAGGCCACCCTGAAATGCCTTATTTTTACTATATAATACTCTATTGCTAATTAATAGAGAAAGCCTATATAAATCTAAATTAATTAACATAACTTATAAAACTACCTCTATTACTGCCTCTATTACTTCCTCTACCTCTACTGCTGCTGCTGTATCTACTACTTCTTTTGCTGCCTCTGCTAATAGTAGTGCTTTTTTAGTATTTACTACTGCTTTTACTACCTTAACTACTACCTTTTTTACTACTTCTTTTACCTCTATCTTAGCTGCTTTTTCCTTTACTATAATAATTAACTTTATAGTAGTAAAGTAAGTATTTAGATTTATAGTTACCTTACCTTTCTTTTACTTCTTTATATAATCTAGCTAGGCCTTAAGGGACTATATCCTCTTGCTGTTCTCTACTAAGGTAATATTTATATTATCTAGCTGTTTTCCTACTTTTATAAAGAGGAGCCTCTAAGTACTATAATCTTACTCCTTATTGCCCTCCTAGGGGTCCTATAGACTCTAGTATCTCCTTAAGTCTCTTAACTTTTAAGGGGTCTAGACTATAAACTATTAAGGTGTACTAGGCTTTATTAGAAATATCTTATTCTATATAGGCGCCTTTAGAGTATTAGTACTATTATTTAGGTTAATAAACTTACTTATTAGAGGTCTAGCTATATTAATAGGCTATAATCTTATTACTAACTAGCCTACTTAAATATTTCTTAGTATAAAGGTATTTATAAATACCTTAAAGTAATAGTAAAAAAAGTTCTACTTCTTAATAAGTATAGTACTAAGGTCTAAAGATATATTTATAACCTTTTTTTTATATACTTACTTTAAGAATAAGAATACTACTATATTAAGAGGCTAGGTAATATAGCTAGTATAAGGTAGTAAATAAAGTAAGTAAATATCTTACTAAAAGTATTCTTATATAAAGTTATTTAAAATATAGCTTTTATACCTATTTATAATAAAAAAGACTTTAGACTTATACTTTTTAGCCTCCTTTATAGTAGTAAAAATAAAGATAGTCTTTAGCTAGTTAAGACTAATCTTATTAGACGTTTATTTATTTTCTAATAATATAAATTACTATTTAGTAAAAAATAAGAGCTTAAGAAAAAACTACTATTATTATATAGTAGCCCCCTTAAAGATAACTAAAGGAGAAAGTCTTTTACTATTTATAGAGATATACTTAAGAATACTTATCTAAGTGCGCCCCTTAGAGACTTAAATATATATAGTTCTTTTACTAGACTTACCTAATACTAAAGACTACTAAGCCTCCCCTTTAGTAATCTTAGTCTTATTTATATTTTATTAAAGGTATTATAGGATATTCTATTAGAAGTAAGAATATCTCTAAGTATTCTTATACTTCTTTATCTTATATTTCCTCTATTATAGAGGTTATATATATATAAGATATATATATTTATAATTTACTTACTTAGTAGATTAATATATATATTGACTACGTAAGTATGTCTAATTACGTAATTAACTAAAGATTAGAGAAGGTACTAGAATGTCTAAGATCTCTCTAGATCCTACCTTCTACCTCTGTTGTTCCTATAAGGTTATTGTTTTAAGTTAGGGTTATTTACTTAAGGTTATTATATTACGTAACTAAGGGTTAATCTATAAGCAGCTTACGTAAGTATGGAATATTCTAGTAAGCTGTATAGGTCTATATAAGGGCTAGAATTCTTCCTGTTTCTAGTTTCCTTTCCTTCTCTCTCTAAGCAAGCAAATAGTTAATAATCTAACTACTATACTCTCTTTTAACTATATATCCTTATATCCTCTATTTATTTACCCTAGGTATAAGTATTTATATCTCCCTTTTATCTTATATTCTTGCTTCTATAGGATATATCTTTATATAAGAGATATACTCTCTTATATTCTCCTAAGCTAGAACTCTCTATCTAAGACACTAGCTTACCTGTTATGCTAACAGGTTATAAGCCTAGGTAATATACCTAGGATATCTTTATTACTATAAGAGTTATATATACTCTTAAGTAGCCTATTTATTTATCTATTTATAAAAGTAGATTCCTTATACTATCTTTTCTTTATAAGAATATTAAGGCAGAAAAAGTAAGCCCTTAGTATCTCTTATAACTAAGAGAAGTATTAAATATCTACTATAGATAAAGGCAGTATAAGTCCTACTATAGGCAGCATAAGGTCCTTTATCTAAGAGGTAGTATAAGTCTTAATAGCAGCTATAAAATCCTCTAGCTGCCTATATATCTTATATATATAAAGATATATATTTATAAAGAGGTAGAAAAAGTAAGACCTCTATAGGTTATAAGAATACCTATTTAAATCTAGTAAAATACTAGAAAAATAGCAGATATTATTAAGGCTACTACAGGCTGTTTATTACCTCTAGAATAACGTCTCTAGGGTATAAAGAATTAGAATTCCTAGATTACTTCTATTTATCTCTTTTTTAAGCTATTAAAGCTTAATACTTATTTTAAAGAAGAGATAAGATATAAGGATATCTCTAAAGAATAAAAAACACAAGCCTTATTAATTATAAGGCAGAATCTTTAAAAAGATCCCTTATCTTTAGTATTTAATTTAAAGGATTCTAAGGATACTTTAAATATACTAAAATTATCCTATAAGGGAACAGGCCCTGTTCTAAGGCAACAATTATACTTAGAATTTCACGCTATTAAATTAGAAAATTATAATACTTTAAATAAGTTTATTAGCTCTTTTAAAGGTTATATCTCTAAATTAAATAACATAGGGGCTAAAATAGAAGATATAGACTAAAAAACAGTCTTTATAGCTACTTTAAGTAGTTATTTTCCTATTTAGGCAGAAAGACAGAGAAGTGCTTTAAGAACTAA